CTGGTGCTTCTGACTCACAGCCTGTAAGTAAATTTTTTTATATTTAAAGAATTTGCCACTGATGATTCAAATGTGAGTTTGAGCAATGTAGAGTAGCGCTTGTTGTTTGTCGTTTCTCCGATCACAAATGCAGACATGGTTTTATGTTAACGCAACGCGATACGCAACGCAACGCGTAAAAACACAGTATAAGTCATTATAATCAGTAATTATGTCCCCACTGGATGCAACAAATACCTCATTTATGATGGGTTTTATTGTTGTCTCATCGCGCCGGGAGACACAGCATCACAGTATGGTAAGGGGCGTAACATTTCCGTCACACGCTTGAGGTATTCAGCCAATCGCAACGCACTGGATAGCTGGCCAATCAGAGCATACCTCGCGTTTCAGAACGATGAGCTTTGTAAAAATCGACGCATTTCATAATGTTCTTTTTAGCAACATCATATGACCCCTTTAAGTTTTGAGCAACATGGCGGCTGGTGTGACACTATTTTTCCATGTAAAGTAAATGATCTGTGGAAAGTGTGAATCATTTGGACTTATCCAATTTAGATTTATGTAAAAGAATGATTTCTGCCACAGTATTTTACGCATTTTTTATGGTGGTTGCAATAATCATGCAACCACTTTTTTTTAAAGATACAAGTAATTTATTAGAAGTAAATTCATTTAAAATTGACAAATGTGAATGTGCATGAAGCTTCTGAAAAGTGTCAGATGAGGAATGAAATTGTCGTTGATCTTTTAGGAGTTAATTGTAAATTGTAAATGAAAACATGCTGTAACTTTCAGAAAAAGACCATCTGTTGAAACTAAGCTGCAAAACACGTCTCTTTCTGATCTTCCAGTCACATTTGTTGCAGTCTTCAGGATATTCAGGACAGAAGAAAGAAAGACGTAAGGGTTTGGAACAATATAATGGTGAGTAAATGACAGTTTTTCATTTTTCATTTCATTTCCTTTTAAATTAAGAACAAAATAGGTATTTTTCAATAGAAATGCTGATTCAAATATTAAGTAATTAGAAACAAAAAAGACATACTTGTTCATATACCTCAGCTCTCCTGACATCTCTCTATTTTATTTGTTTGTGCACTCTGTTCTATTACTGCCGACTATCATTTGCAAAGTGTTGTCTGGCATTTGTGGCTTTCTCTATTGGCTTTGCATGCTTGGCTAGCTGCGCTTGAACCTCTCAGCAGAAGAGACCTAGGCCTTTTTTAATAAGGTCCCTCATGAGAAATCTTCCTCATCTGAGCAGGAGCATGTCTAGAGGGCAGTTAAAGAAGAGAAATAGAAGAGGTAACAGAAATAAAAAGATGAGGAGATATAGACAGAAAGGAGGAGAGACTGATGAGGGAAGGGGAAGAACGTGATGCGTGATTGAGTTTGTGCAGTCTGCCTCTATGAGAGGTGAGAGCTGCTCTATCAGGAGACAGGAAAAGGCATTCAAAGTGTCACATGTTTGTCACGGTGGGCGACATTGGCATCTGTCACGCAACCTTTGGCAACACTTGCAATAAACCTCCCCGTTCCAGAGAGTACGAGACAAAAAGAGACTTTGAAAATGAGAGAGATTTGCAGAGTGCTGCAGTGCTCACGGGGACACAGGTCTGAATCCACCCTGTCCTGTCTGAATAAATCCGTTCCTTAAAGCCTCAAAATTTGAAAATAAATGTTAAAGTAAAAAATAGATCCCTTGCTTTTGTATTTCCCAGTTCTATGGTATTCACATTTGGCACTTTGTGTTTCGGAATAGGACAAAAGAATCAAAATGATCTGTTTCCTTCCTAATTCATGGAAATGGAGAGGGGGAGGAGGGCTCCTGTCAGGAGGGAGACATGGAGCGCTGGTCAGTATATCAGGGAGTTTTAATTAACAGCTCAGTGATGAGGATTGAAACAGCCCTCATGCCGTTTACCACTCTACGGGACCGGATCAAACCAAACTCACCACAGCGGGGTTGATTTGGTAGGTCCGAGAGTGTTCGAGTGTTCAGAATGTACCATCATGTAACTGAATATATTGGTTATAATCATGAGACATTGCCCAGGTCTGTTTATTATATATATATATATATATATATATATATTCATAATAATCGTAGTACGAACAACTAAAATTACAATTAGT